CTACTGATGGCAGCTGAAAAGATGGCCTTTTGGGTAGTCCGCAGATGCTGCTTTGAATGCCGTAGGGACTGGAAGGGAAATTGCGCGCAGCATGTTTAAGTGCAAGTGCGGAATTTAGCAAGTCCTTCAAAGAGGAATGTGAATGAAAAAATGCACACTTACGTTCTGGCCTCTGATGAAACTTGATGCAGCAAGAAATTGCTGCTTGGAGACATGTTTTTTGTAGCACTTGCTTGCGTAACTTGCCACATCATTTCAGTGGCGGGTATTTCAAATAGTTTTCTTTCAAATAAGGGTCACATGCTGGTGCTTCTACTGTAGAAACTTATGTTTTTCGTTAAAAAAAAAAAACTTGCAGGTCGTAAGGCTAATTAACTTTTGCTGATAAATATTAATCTATTCAAGATCTTTGTGTGAGACTCTTACTTACATGTAACTGGTGTATTATATATACTTTCTTTGACTTTATACGTTATTTGTTTTGTAGGTTGAAACTGCAGTACTTAGTCTTAAACCTGCAGCAATGGGTAGAACTTACTTTGTTGAGGAAGCTATTGGGCAGTATCTTTCAGACCTCAGCACAGAATTAAAGCCTTATGTCACAGGCCTGTTAATAGGGCAGGTAAGTGTGAAATATTTGAAATCTGTTCCATTCATTCATGTTAAGAGGGGAAAACTCCTTTGGCCTTAATCATCTGGGATGAGTCCTTTAACATCAGATTGAGCTTGTATAGCGCAGGAGGGTGGTAATGTGACCAGAAGGGACTTCTGTAAACGGTTTGCGGTGTCAACCAACTGCTCAAGTCTTTTAAAATTGTCTTGTGAAAGATGTGACATACAGAAAACAAGTTAAGGTCTTAAAGATAAAACTTAGCACTGAACAAGGCTGTAAGGCAAAGCCTTAAAAATTGAGGAATTATTAAATTAATAAGGGAATTATTTTAGTAACAGGTTACTATAGAGTTTAACAATACCTGCTGTAAAGCACACCTTACAGTTTCTGTATTACTCACTATATTGTCAGACTTATTATCAACCTCATGGTATATTTGCTTATATTGATGTTTTTGAAAGTGTTCCCTGCAAAGAGACTATGTAATTCGGGCTGTTCGAACGCCTCCAAAGGAAGAGCAGAAGGAAGGCAACATCTGTCCTTCAAAACTAGCATCCATTGATGAAGAATGGATAACTACGCATGCCAGTCAGGTAGCGCAGTATAAGTTCTTGAAGGGGATGGGAGGAACAGAAAGGAAGTAAGACTTACAAAAACTACCTCATTGCTTCTGTAATCTCAAGCCTTTTTTCCAAAGTAAAAGAACCTTCCTAACCACACTAGGCACAGGTATTTTAAACCAAAATATCTGTCTTGTTTTCAAAGTTTATCATGAAACAGAGACTTGATAGCACCTTGCAAATTTTCTTGCTTTAGTCTTATGTTCCTGCATTTCAGAGGAACTTGTAGGTGAAAAACAGTCTTGCTTATTTAATTTCTACTCTTAGAATCATAGAATCTTTGGGGTGGAAGGGACCTTTAAGCTCATCTAGTCCAACCCCCCTGCAGTGAGCAGGGACAATGGGTACTTGTCTCATTAGAAATTTTTGATACATCAAGTTACATGGTTGCTAGATCTCTGATTCCTGTTAATACATGTTCATTTCTATTTTTAAGGTTTCTAGAATGCTTCCTGGAGGCTTATTAGTTCTTGGCGTATTTATTATTGCGACTCCAGAACTGTCAAAAGACAGTCAAAATGCTTTGCGCAAGGTAAGTATACTTTCTGGTGGAAAGGCAGGAATATCTGTAGGTGTGTAGCTGAATAATTTTCTATCACTCTCTTGAGCGTATATATAGTTGTTTTGTTGCTTTATTTCTAAAAGCACAAATGTTCTGGTTTAGATTTATGGTTTTGAGTCTGAAACCTCAGAAATCACTGTCCTGTAGTACTGTACCACAGCTTGTATTTGCTAACTTTTTGTTTCTTCTGGTGTTTGTTACTGCTATAGCAAATCTTACCGTATTTACTGAAAGGGGACATTCTAGCTTAAGGAAAATATCTTCCAGCTAAATCCTTGTGGCACAATTGTTAGTAGTAGTAGCGTGTTAGCTTTTTTTCGTCTGAATAAATTGTTCAGGTCAGAGATGCTTACAATAGTGAAATGTCTGTAGTTCTGATTCCTTTAAAAGGTGTGTCTTGTATAGAACTAGTGGTATTTGGCTTAGATGTGTGGGGTTATATTTAAAAACTACTTAAAGCGTGCTATTGCATGATAGACTTGAAATGCATTTTTGTTACTGTGTTGGGGCATCTAGTGCTACATTTAGTTTCTATTTTGTAGATGCAGGTTCATTTTATCGTTTTCATAAGGTAAGCCATGATGAGAGGTTTAAATGTGAGAAGGTTTTGAATCCAAAGGTCTGAGATTCAATTTTGGCAGTGCAATGCAACTGCATTTCAGTTGTGATTACAGAAACTAGTAACTAACAAAAAAAAAAGTGTGCTGTGTCCAGGCAACCAGTGATTTCTGAATGAAAATTTGTTTTTTTTTTAATTAGTAGCTGTTTTGCACAGCTGTCTTTCCAGATCATAAAATGATAGGCATAGACCTGTAATATTTTTGTAGGGAGAAAAGCATACAGGTAGAATATGTGAATCTGTGTTGCTTGGTTCAATTTATAAGGAAGCTGAATTGAGATTTCACAGGCAACTTTCAGTTTGGAGTAGTTGCCTATGAATCTTTGTTGAATGTTCTTCTAACGTGACATGTAAGCTTTATTTCCTTTTTATTATATCTATGATATATATCATACCTCATATATATATATATATGTCATATCTTTTCTCTATGATACCACTCAGGCTTAGAACTTTAGTGCGAGACTATTTTCCAGAAATTATAATGTACTACTTTTGTAGAACAAGCCACAGTACTTTTTTCGTCTTTAGCTAATCTTCTCAGTGGAAAAGTCCTTGACTAAAAGACGGCTCTGGAAACCCACTGAGGAGGAGGTCTCGGACAGAGCAGCTCTTCAAGTTTGTTCTGCTACAAAGAAGTATCCTTTATGAGCAAGATGTATGATAGAGACTGCTACCCCCAACCTTGTTTCTGTAGTTATTTCTGAATAAATGATGAATTGGGAGGGGGAAGTTGCTTGAGTTCAGGTAGGCACAGATCTTGCTTTCAGCTTACTGTTGAAATCATGGAGTTTTCTAATTAGCAATGAATAAGACTATCAACTCTCTTATCCGTCCAACATTTCCATCATTTTTTACTGTTAAGTTTGTGTGTGTGGTGGCATCAAATTATGCCTTCCTCAGTCACTTTTGATTCGCACAAATTGAGGAAAGCATCTAAAATGCTGTATAGCTTCTTGAGCTTGTTGTTACCAATGATACTTATGTGGAAGTGAGGAAGTAGCGGGCTTGTGGGATCTGTACTAGTGCTGCAGGAGAATGCTGGGTCTGTTGATAATGAGATAATGGAAGGAGAGAAAGCAAGGCTTTTCCTTAGATACATGAGAGAGATGAGGACAAATTGGTGCATTGGTGGTTTTCCCTGTGAATACCTATTGATCTTAATATATTTGTAGAGATGGGACAGCATCACTATGGTAGTTGGAGTTTACAGTCAAATGTTTTTCCACTTTTTTACACTAATGAAAGGTGAGAACTTTATTCAGAGCATCAGTTAGCTCAACAAGGAAGTTAAGACAAAGTTAATTGTGAATTGTTCTTACTCCTTTTTTTTTTTTTTGCTTTTCACTGGATCTTTTTCTTTAAGTAGCAAAGAGTAGTTTGCCGAACCTATGATGTACAAGATCCAAAGGTAAGCTCATCATCCTGTATGTCATATACAGCTTTTAATGCGTGACAAGTAATGTTTCAAAACAAAAAAATCTCTACTTGAGTTATACAGTGTTTTGTATAGATACTTTATTGCTTATTTCTGCTCTCAGAGTTCAGCTAAACCAGCAGATTGGAAATATCAGAGTGCTCTGTCTGCTTCCTGGTTAGCTTTGGACTGCACAGTAAATGTTAATATTCACATTCCACTTCTTGCTACTTCACCGAACCATGACTTGGAGAAGAATACCAAGGTAACTAACTGGCTGCACCAGCTGTGTAGTTGGTCCCTACACTACTTTTTCTGTTGAAAATTAAATGAGAAAGATCTGAATAGTGTGAGTAGAGGAGTAGGACTGATCATCAGAGAATGTTTGGCAGTTATTCCTCTTTTACTACAACCAAGAGTTGTAGTAGGTATCAAGGTTCAA